CCAGCTAGAGCTTCCGTTGTCACAAGAACCTAGAATAATTTTCTCCACTGAACTTCTCCCACCGTAATAGCAGTTCTCTACTCCAGGGACTGCCCAGAGAACTGTAGAGATGGACTTACATTTTATATGTATGTGCTTTGGGCTGTTCTAATTGAAAGTGATCAGACAGAATAAAGTAAAAGTGAAAATAAGAGAATCAAAGCAGCCTGGAAAGGGAGAGAAATGCCACCAGAAGATTAAAATTGCCTGAAGCGTTTTCTAAGCCACTTCAAACACTGTTTTGAGATAACAGAATCTCATGCAATTTTATTTAAATAAATTAAATTTTTTCCTTTTAAAATACTCTCCTAAATCAGTTGTTAAACTTCAGTTTGCACATGACATTATGGAGCCTGGGGAGAATTACTTCCTCCCTTGTTCTTTACATGGTTGGAGACGATGGTGGGGTAAAGGGAAACACAACATTGGTGCAGATGCATGAGCCAGCTTGTCCAGGCAAAGGCCTTGGGGGTCAACAATAAGGTAATTCATTAAGGAAGAGTCGTAACCATGTTTTTGTAAAGGAAGTTAGTCTTGAGAGGAAGACTTTCTTGGGAACAGGGATGGGCAGAGGGAGCCACAGATCTTTACCCATTTGGGGTAGGCAGGGGTGAAAGGTTAAGGAGGACACCGTGGCTGTATTTAGACTTAGTGTGTTGTGGACTTTTTATTGAAGTATAATATAAAGTATAATATAATCTGTTTATAAATAGAAACAGATCATGAGTCTGCAGCTTAACTAGCACACCCATGTAACTAACCAGCATGCAGATGAAGAAGCAGAACCTTTCCCAGTACCCAAAGCTCCCCTTGTCTGTGGTCTGGATTTGATTTATGCTGGATAGAAGGTGGCATTTATTTCCAAACATACTTAGGGCATGGCTAGGTGACAATAACCATGTTTATGTGTGTGTATACATATGTGTGTGTAAGCTGATTCTGCCCCTTTCTCTACCTAATATGGGGGAGCTCTGTGAGTTTGGATTTGCACAATTTCCAGAAATCAACTCAAGCCATTTCCTGTTCCTTCTTTCCTTCGAAGCTGTCAGTTCCATGCCGGTGGATAACAGGAACCGCAGTGAAGAAATGGTAAGTTCAAATGTCAGTTTTAGAATCTAGACTCAAGATTCTCCTACTGTCATCCCAAACCAAACACACACGCTCACACAAACGAATAAAGTAACACAGCTTAGTCTTTCAAAGCTGGGTTTTCATCCCTGAGAGGAGGGGAACAGTGGCTGCCGCTCCGGTGCTGAGCTCCCAGGTGCTTTCTGATTGGGTCCGCACCCCTGAGGATGGCTGTGTGGTCATAGTATTTCCCTCTGACTGGTTCAGAAGTGAGTGTTTATTTCCTTTCTCAGGGTAATTTCAACTCAATACCTCTTGCATTGTTCTGTGCAGAGGCTGGGGAGTTTCAACACAGTCTGTGAGTCTATCTTCCTCTCCTAAGGATCCTGCATCAGTACAGGCCGCATCATCAAATCTCCCTTGACATCACCTCTGAGTTGAATGATCTGTCATCTCAGTGACACCAGCTTTTCCAACCTGCTTCTGGTTTTCCTGCAGGTGACACGCTGCATCATCGAGGTCCTCTCAAATGCCCTGTCCAAGTCCAATGCCCCACCTATCACCCCCGAGTGCCGACAAGTCCTGAAGAAAAGTAAGTGTTCCCACACTGCAGGCAGATCTTGGTCACCGCAAAGATCCTTTTCCTAAGATTGCTTAAGGGAAGTTGTCTCTGCCTGCCTATCCAGACACGATTCTTAGCCCTTAGTCTGTGGCATAGCGATTCCAGCTTCTGCTCCTTACTGATTGTGTTCTGGGGTCTTTTGACGTCTGTTAAGAGGGCCCCAGGGAAACCAATAAAAACCAAATGGCCCAAGTCTATAAGAACCCTGGAAACATTGTGCCCAGAGGGTGATGGAATGCTGAAAAGGAGAAGGTCTAAGCCCTCTCTTCTCTGTGGTTAAGGCCAGAGCTCGCCACACAGATTAAACTAAGGAGTAGGTTTAGGCTGGACAGGAGGTCCCTCACCCCGGAGAGCATGCGTCCCTTTGGAGGGGAAGCAGGTATTTCTCAGCTCTAGTTCTATTGTGGAGAATACAAACTCTGTTACCATTCTTGGGATTTTTAAAGAAGAAGTTAATTTTTTTTTTAGAAGCTAAAATTTTTATTTTCAAGCAACATCTTCTGGTGTTTAAGTATTTAAATGCCTCTGAATTCAAATTTGCTAAAAATGCTGTTTAGGTTGAATGGAACTCACGTAAATGGCCTACCGATTGTTTTAGTTTTCTCTCTGTTGGGGAGCAGCTGATCGGAAGACTGATCAAACTGGTAAAGACTGGTAAAACTTTTGGTCAACTGGGTGAATGAATTTCTTCGTAGAGCCTCTGTCCTACCCCAAGCCCATCTCCACTTCCACTCTCTCCTGAATGTCTCTGAGTCAGCTTCTACTCACCAGTGAATGGCTATTTGGGGAGTAGGGAAGAATCATTGTTTTATGGTTTCAAGAGTCTAATTTCTTAGTAAGTATAAGAGTCTCTTTGATCAGTGTTGATCTGGTCATCCTTGCAGCATGATCGTTAGGTGCATTTTCTCCTTTTTGCTTGAAAGTAAGAGTGAGCTTCCCACTTTTTTTTTTTTTTTTTTGAGACAGAATCTTACTATGTCACCCTCGGTAGAGTGCCATGGCATGACAGCTGACAGCAACCTCAAACTCTTGGGCTTAAGCAATTCTCTTGCCTCAGCCTCTCAAGTAGCTGGGACCACAGGCACCCACCACAACATCCAGCTATTTTTTTTGTTGCAGTTGTCATTGTTGTTTAGCAGGACCAGGCGAGGTTCCAACCCGCCAGCCCCAGTGTATATGGCCAGTGCCCTACCCACTGAGCTATGGGTGCTGCCAAGCTTCCCACTTTGGTTTTACAGATTGATAATGACTGTGTCCTGCTAATAGCAGCCCTCTTCCAATCTCACCTGTGGGAGCTTAAAGCTAAATTTAGGAAGAAAGTACCAAGCGTCAGGTACAAGCTGCTATAGGCAGTGCATTTTTTTTTTTTTTGAGACAGATTCTCAAGCTGTCACCCTGGGTAGAATGCTGTGGCATCACAGCTCACAGCAACCTCCAGCTCCTGGGCTCAAGTGAGTCTCCTGCCTCTGCCTCCCAAGTAGCTGGGACTACAGGCACTGGCCACAATGCTTGGTTATTTTTTGGTTGCCGCCATCATTGTTTGGTGGTTCAGGTTGGATGTGAACCCACCAGCTCAGGTGTATGTGGCTGGCGCCTTAGCCGCTTGAGCCACAGGCGCTGAGCTGGGCAGTACATTTGTTAACTGGGAAAAAATAAAAATATTTTTGTTTCCGGCACTTAAGATCCCATAAGCCTGTAGGCAGCAGGACAGAGGCTCCAGAAGCTGAGGTCTTGGCTGATCAGCAATATTTCAGCTAACTCTCAGTGTGACATCCGTATCTGCCTCTGTTAGCTCAGGCTGCTGTAACAAATACCATAGACTGGGTGGCTTAAACAACCAACATTTATTTTTCACATTTGTAGAGGCTGGAAATCCAAGTTCAAGTGTCTGTTGAGGGCCCACATCCTGGCTTATAGACAGCTGCCTTTTCACAGTCTCCTTACCTGTGACAGAAAAGATCATCTCTCTGTCTCTCTCTTTCTGTCTCTCATCTCCTCTTACTGGGGCACTAATCCCATTATGAGGGTTGCATCCTCATGACCTAATTACCTCCCAAAGGCCCCACCTTCATATAACATCACATTAGGGATTACTTCAATGAATATGAATTTGGGGGATGCGCAAATGTTTAGTTAATAGCACTACTTAACGCCCCCCTGCTTACCCGTGCCCACTTGGTTAGCTCTGCCCCAGTGCTGTACATACCACCACTGGCTCTTAAAAGGACTGGTGACAGGTGGACCAGCCCTCAGGTGTCTGGGTGTGAAAGGTCAGGGACCTTTCTCATACTTTGCCTTGTAAGTATGAGAATATTATCATCATGCCAGACTGGGCTTTAAGTAGACAAGTACAGCCAGTCCACCATTTCTTGGATGTTTTTACAAAACAGATCAATTTTTTTCTATTCTGTAAGTATCAGTTCAAAATGAGTCATCAGTACACGTCAATAGAAAGATGACATGAGCCACAAACACAGTTTTAAATTTTACAGTAGCCACAATTAAAAAGTCAAAAGAGACTGGTGAAATTAATTTCAATAATATCTTTTATTTTTATCTAACATATTATGTATATATAGCCAATCTATATATTGAAATATATATTATTCAATACATGTAAAATATTATCTTTTCAACATGATAATAAATATTATCTTTTTGGTAATTGATACCAAAAATTGATTTTGCATTTTTTTCATAGGGAGTTTTAGAAATCTGGTGTGTTTGTGACATGGATAGCATGTCTCAGTTTGGACCAGCCACATGTCAAGTGCTCAGTAGCTACAAAGGGCTAGTGGCTCCTGCAGTGACCTTGGCTTCAGCCATTCTATCTGAACTCAGTGAAATTGAAATCCAAACCCTCCCAGCTAACAATTGAGTGTTAACTGTCTGCCTCCGTTCATGGGATGCTCTTGAGTTAAGGAGGATTTAGTAAAAAATTCTTGATATTTGGAAAAGGTGGGAGAGAACAGCATCCAGTTAAAATATCAGTTACACCATCTACTGCTGACTCAGGAAACAGAAAGATGACTCAGTGTCCTGAAGTTTATGCTCAGCGTCTGAGAACACTTTGGGAGGATGGGACCTGAGTGAAGAAAGAAGTGGTCCTCTCCACTGCTGTGTAGTTTTCTCGGGGAAGAAAGAAATACACCCTTCTTATTACCAATTACCAAGTTATATTGTCACTTACTGCTGAAGTGGGTCTACACAGTTGATTGGATAATAAAAGTGGGATATAAGGCAATAATTTAAAATGTGCAAATTGTTCTTTGAATCTTGGGATTTCCTGTTTTGGCTATTTAACTTTATTTAGCTCGATAATAGTTAGAGCCATTCACACAATGCTAACTTTTTAAGCCCCACTTAGAGTGAAGATGGTAAGAATGGGCCTGAATTATACTACTCTGACACTCGATGTCCTCTGCATCTGCAAAAAGAGAAGACTGGCCTAGAGTTCTCAGATCCCTTCTAGTTGAAGATTGTAATATTTCATAAATCTGTATATGGATACAATTTGACCATTGATAGATCATGCAAGTGAGAGACGCGAGTTGAGTATTATGAAAACATAAAAACATCGAGAGTTTATTATTTGATTTAAACCCAGCCAAGAGGCTTTTGTAGTATTTGTTTTTAAAAGGAATCTGAGTGTATTCTTCATTAATTAAAAAAATTATTCAAGGTGGAGCCTGGTGGCTCATGCCTATAATTCCAGTGCTTTAGGAAGCTGAGGAGGGAGGATTTCTTGAGGCCAGGAATTCAAGACCGAGCTAGGAAACATAACAAGACCCCCATCTCCACAAATAGAACATAAATAGCTAGCTATGGTGGTGTGTGCTTGTAGTCTCAGACACCAGAGGGGCTGGGGTGGAGGGGCACTTGAGCCCAGGACTTTGAGGCTACAGGGAAAGTGAGGATACCACTGTACTCCACCTGGGCAGCACAGCAGGATCTTATCTCTAAAAAAACAATTACTGAGGTGTCCTCGGGATTTGTAGTGATTACCAAGGCTGATGCTTATTGAACCACAAGCAATTCTGGAGTTATGCTTATGGTTATTTTCATTATAGGTGGAAAAGAGCTCAGAGACAAAGAGGAAAGTGAAAACGAAAACACAAAGTTTGAAGTAAGATTGTTAAGAGACCCAGTTGATGCCTTGGCTGCCCACAAGCCCCCCAGCAGCGAGGAAGCAGGAGCCCCAGGGGAGGAGAACGTCCAGGGCCTGACATTGGTGGACACAGAGAAAGGGGCAGAGGGAGGCGGGCACAGCCGAGAGGGAGCAGGGGAGCCACAGGGGAGCCTTCACCCCTCTGACGGCCAAGTCTCCGAAGAAACAAAGACACACCCTTCTGAGGAGAGCAACAGGGAAGAAGTGGAGAGAGAGAAGTATGAGAAAGTGGAGCATGGGGAAGAGGGCAGTGATGAGAAACATCTCGAGGAGCCAGGAGAAACACAGAATGCTTTTCTCAACAAAAGAAACCAGGCTTTGGCGACGAAAAAAGAGGAATTAGCGGCCAGATCTGATCCACGCTCTACTGGGCATTCTGAGAAGACACACAGCCGGGAAAAGAGCAGCCAGGAGAGTGGAGAGGAGACAGGGAGTCAGGAAAATCTCCCCCAAGAGTCCAAGAGCCAACCCCAAAGCCAGGAAGAATCTGAGGAAAGTGAGGAGGACGTTCCGTCCGAGGTGGCCAAACGACGCACGAGGCCCAGACACCACCATGGGAGAAGCAGGCCTGACAGGGCTCCTCAAGCAGGGAGTCCTCCCTCCAAGGAAAGGGGACACCCCTTTGAGGAATCTGAGAAGTCAGGTCTGGGCACTGCCAGTTTAGGGGAAAAGAGGGACCAGCATTCAAGCCAGTACAAGGCTTCAGAGGAAGAACCTGCATATGGGGAGGCAGAGAGAAGTTATCCAGGTGTCCAGGCCCCAGAGCAACTGGAGGGGGAACGACATGGGGGCAGAGGGAGTGAAGAGTACAGGGATCCAAGGCCTCATGGTGAGGAGAGTTGGGACAAGGAGGACAAGAGAGACCATCCCAGCTCAGAGCTTGACAATATGGCGCACAAATACAATGAAGAAATGGAGGAAGGGCAGGGCCGTGAGGGGGAGAAGGGACGTCCTCACAGAGGCAGGGGTGGGGAGCCAGGTGCCTATTCCATGCCTGAAACCAGAGAAGAGAAAAGGTTCTTAGGTGAGGGTTACCGTCGTGCTCAAGAAAGCCAGCTGGACAAGGCCCGGAGGCGCCCACAAGATGAGTGGAAAGAGCTGGACAGACATTACCTCAACTACGGTGAGGAAGGGGCCCAAGGGAGATGGCAGCAGGAAGACCTGCAAGACGCTGAAGAAAACAGGGAGGAAGCCAGGCTTCAAGACAGGCAGTACGCCCCCCGTCACAACGCTGAAAAGAGGAAGCGATTAGGGGAGCTGCTCAACCCGTACTACGACCCTGTCCAGTGGAAGGGCAGCCATTTTGAGAGAAAAGACAACCTGGGTGACAATTTTCTTGAAGATGAAGAGGAAAATGGGCAGACCTTGAATGAGAAAAATTTCTTCCCGGAATACAACTACGACTGGTGGGAGAAAAAGCCTTTCTCGGAGGATGTGAATTGGGGCTACCAGAAGAGAAACCTTGCCAGGACCCCCAAGCTGGATCTGAAAAGACAGTACGACCGAGTGGCTGAACTGGACCAGCTCCTTCACTACAGGAAGAAAGCAGCTGAATTCCCAGATTTCTATGATTCTGAGGAGCCGATGAACCTACACCATGAGGCAGAAAATGAAAAGGACAGGGCTGACCAGAGAGTTCTGACAGAGGAAGAGGTAAGGTGTGGGGCTTTTGTTTGAAATTAACGTCCTGTGGTCAATGTTAATATGTTTAAGACTGATATTCATAGGAAGGAACTGGTGGGGATTAACGACCATGAGAAAAGTGCCTTCGTTATGGGGTAGACACCACTTCTGGGGCCTATTTCAACCTGAGCCGTTGTCCACATCCTTGTCCACGTTCCTCTTCAGGGCTTTGCAGCACCAGCCACACATTGGGATCACCTGGACAGCTTATAAGTTACTGTGTCTGGGACCTGTCCCCAGAGATTTTTGTCTCATTGGTCCTGGGTGCTGCCTGGGCA